GAACACTACAGATGTTTTGTTGGTATTTTTGATAGCACAGTTGATCCATGAAAAAAAATTAAGCACGATATACTCAATTAATGAGGAAAAATAAAATAAAATAATTTTTATCTTTAGGGGTAATCAGTTGTTAAAAGCCAAACAAAATTATTTTTGTCAAGTTGCTTTTAAGTACATATCGTTCAGCTGGATAACTTTTGTACGCTGTACTTAATTACTGTAGATAGACCGGACTGGTCTAGATCGCGATCAGTTTAAACTTAAGATTGGCAAAATCCCAAGTGACATAAATAAGCATGCACTCTATACCTGAATCTATTTTTAACATTGAAAAAACACATTTTTATATTAGATTTAGAAAAAGAAAAACAGGAACAATAATTATAAAGAAATATTATTTTCAGAAAATGATGCTGAAATAAATCAGCTAAAAGGTCCAACTTTAGTTGCCTATGCCGGTTGCCCACATGCTCCAAAAGCAGAACGACGTGAAACGTTGATACAAGGCTGTTCCGAGAGACAAAGGCCTCATTTGCCCCTTGTCAGCAGGCTTCCATTATCCATTTCTTTAAAATCAGTTTTCTTTTTATGCTCTACAAAAAATTTCGGTCAAAAAAGCACTAGAAGTTTTATAACTTTTTTTGTTCTTTCACCGAAAAAAATTTATACACTGATAAAAGCTGCAAACAAAAACAAAATTTAATTCACTCTTTGAAGCACCAAAAAAAGAGGCTTTGTTTATGAAAGTGAAAAGTAAGGAAATAAAAAAAAAAAAGGTGATTAAGAAAAGTTCTAAGCGTAAAAAGATCTAGTTCTGTTAAATAGTAATTGTAGGTCATAAGAGGGGTTTTTTGGCAATAGCAAAAAGCATTAGTATAATATGAATGAGAAAAGCAATAATTGTTGTTCAAGAATAGGCAACAATAATAGCAAATAATAATAAGTAAACTTAAAGCTGTCGTCTTTTTTTTTTTTCTGCTTATTTATCTAAAATTTTTGTTTATGCTAAAATTTATTTTACTGGAAAATTTTTATTCGACAACGAAACACTTTTAATTTTGTCGCAGCAATAGTATCCGGTTACCACTACTTCAAAAATACAGATCTACAGAACAATATTTGGGATAAATACGGTGACATAATGTTTCTATTTATACATACATCAAATTGACTGACAAAAAAACAAACAGTTTTTTGAAGGGAACAAAAAAAAAAAAAAAAGAGAAAGTGAATAAGCAATTCAATATTTTTATTTATCAAAAAACCTCCTTCTTTACTTCAGTTATTTTACATTTTTATGTCAGAATCGTTATTTCAGACATTTACTCAATATGGCTACTGTAGTGACTTTATTTTGACAAGGCATACGATCACCAAAGATGAAGTTAGAAAATTATGTTACTTTTATTTTTTTTTTTTATTTTTTGTAGACTTAACGTCTAAACTATTAACTGTTTGTATGGTTTCTGTCAAATATTGAAATAGCTGTTGTCAGTATCAACTGAGCAAATAATAATTTTACATCTTAATTCAAATGATAAATACTGTTTTTTTTAGCAGCTAAAGCTGCATGATATTATTTGAGTATTGTTCAGTATAGAACTGTAGTTGCTTTTTTGTTTTTATAGACACTGATTGAGATAATTTTAGATAATTTTTGAAAGCCGTTTTATATTTAATGGAGTATGTGTGCTACTAAGCGGAACACTGAACAAAGAAACTTTGTCGGGTACAGCGACAATGACATTTGACAGAGCAACAGCCGCGTTGGAGGAGAAAAAAAAACGAGATTTCAAAGAGCATTATGGTGAAAAAATTCGAGCCTTACAGCAGAAGTTTAATCTGTCATATTTTGATTCATGAAATTAACAGTGGCTCTAAAGTAATTGCGATAAGAGCTGATTATTAGAAGAAGGGGAAAGTTGATTGCCTATCTGTTCTCTTAGACTTGTTTTCTTTTTTTTTTTTTTTTGCTCAAAATTGTTAAGGGACTCTTCAGGAAATATTTTTTGATGAGAAATGTCATCGTCTGAGTGCACTGTTCCCAATAATTTCTGTTGCTGTGTGTATCAGTGTTCGTATTCGTTTGCTGCAGATTCATATCAGTTTACTGTGTAATCTTTTTTTTTTTTGCTGTAAATAATGACGGAACAGAGCTGTTCCTGAAAAACTGTTTGACGGGTTCAATAATTTCTCAGTTATTACTGTTCATCATATATATTTTTCAATACTTCTTCAGTTTTTTTCACTGTTTAGCTACATTTACCGTATATAAATATCCAACAAGCGAAAAAACAAGAAAAAAAATACCGAAAATTAAAAATGTTATTAAATGATAACCTTCGGACAATGTGTAAACTGAAAATTTTCTGTTTTGCTAAATTTTTTAACATCTAAACGCCTTAAAAATCTGTCCTTATTTTTAAAAGTTTTAAGATTTTTAAGAATTTACAAAATTTATATGTTCCACAAATTTTTTTTTACTGTTCCTTGAATGTAATATTGATACTTTAACACTCAACTGTAACTTACAAATTTTGTTAGACGTCTCGTTTTAAGTCACCTTTTCTTCCAACTTATTTATATGTCTTTTCTGTCTTCTTTGTTGGCCATTTAAACATCCATAAATGTAAGTTTAAAAAATGTTGATTCATTTCTTTAGCAAATATTTTTAATCTGTGATTTTGATGAATCATACCACTAAACTGTAAAAGATTTATTCAAATAATTTCAGATATCCTTTTGCTGTTCAGGTAGTCGGCACTTGTGATTTTGTTGCCAACAACTAATATAAAAATTTTGTTTCCAATTATTTGCCTTCCATCTCAACCCATCACTTTTATTTCCTTTCCTATTATTTGGTTTCATTTACGGCAATAAATTATTGTAAAATTATTGCTTTCACAAAAAAAGAAAAAATTAAGTAATTTTATCAATAACTACTTATTTGTAATAATACTTATCAGATGAAATATGACTACAAAGGTATAAAAAGAAATGTGAAAAATTTCTGTTAAAAAAGCTGCAACAATAAATCGTTGAGCCAAAAAAAAAATTCAAGTGTAATATTCAAATTGTATTTGATATGCTTAAACCAATTTATGATACTAAATTAGTATTCCCTAATTAACAATTGATGTAACTGAACAACAACTGTAAATGTATAAAAGAAACAAAACAACAGACAAAAAGAAAAAAGAAAATTTGTGCTATGAAAAAGCTGTTTAAAAACTTGGCATTTTGTTGATGGCCAACACTAAACATAAAAGTTTGCCTTTAATCAACAGAGCAATATAAATTTTTTTTTTTTGAAAAATACCAACTGATCTGAAAATTAAAGATGTTTGAAACAAAAATTAAATTCACTTCTAAAACAGCTGATGTCGCCGGTTGCGGTTTGCTGGCCAACAAATCCATTTATCTTTGCCCATTCCGTTGTAACAACGCTGTTGCCGTTATTTTCATTTTCCAACAAATATCAGCACCTTTAAAAACTTTTTTTTTTTTTGATTCTTAATGTAATATTTCATCAACAATTTTTCTTAGCAATTTACACAAAGAAAAGACCCCTTTTTTGTCATTGAAAATTATAGAATGCTACAAGAAACTTTAGTGCGTTTAAAGGCAACAGAAGAAAATACAAACAACTCTTATTGATATCATACCAACATAAAGTAATGACGTTCAAAAATGTTGAATAAATAAATATTTAAAGCTTAAAAGCAAAAAAAACTTTCCTTCTTTAAAGTTTAATAATTGATATGCATATATTGTGATCACAATCCTATTATGTCCAAAGACAGCTGATGAATTTGTTGCTAATTTTATAAAGGCACACTTCTGGGAGCACCAGCCTCAAATGTACTTAACATGACGTCCACTAGAGCACGCCAACTATTAGCTTTATTAGCTTCAAAATATACCTTTTTGTTTGAAAGATTGTAAAAATCAAAAAATTTTTTATTTGCTTCAGACGAGTAAGTTTTATTTGAATTTCCGATACGTTAAGACTATCTGCCAGCAACAGTCGTACAGATTAAACACATTAAACACAAACACTTCCTTGCCAGAAGTGGCGCAGTTAACAGCCGATAAAGACCTTAAACGAGTTCAGCTCCTTAAGCACTGTTTCCACCTTTATAAGCCTCTAATTAATACTGTTATAGTTTTAAGCCATATTTGAGGCACTCGTAGAAGTTAGGTATTAAGTACTTGCAGGCATCTCTTTAGCTACATCTGTTCACCAACAAAAACCGCAAATGTAGACGACAAAATAAATCTACTAAAAAGAACTCTTTAAAAAATTGCAAGTGTCAGTTAACGCCCACACCATCTCCATCACAAAAAGCTGGCAAAACAATCTGCTCAGACCTGAAAGTTCACTTAATATCTCCCGCTTGTCTAGTTGAATAGCTACCAGGATGCATATTACGCCATCCACAGCCTAAGAACTGGGACTATATTCTACCATTCCCAGTCGGCAGCAAACTCGTAGTTAAAAAAAAATCCCATATCGCTGCGAAGCAAAATCAGTCGTCCTTTTACAGTCCCACTCTTACTTTTCCAAGGCCGCCCAAACAAAAGCTTCTCGAAAAACTATACTGTTTTACATTTATTGAGCATTAACGTAATTTTAAAGTTTCAAAAATGAAAATAACAACTTATGGCCGTTAAGCAGTTATCAAACCAACAAACTTAACCAAAAACAATTTGCCGTACCGCAGAATTAAAAATCTACCACCTTGAAAAAAACAGAAACTTGTAAAAAAAACTAAAGACAGGAGCAAAAAGCAAGGTCAACACACAAGTTTCTTGTATATAGAATTTAACAATCTCAGCAACTTCTAAAAATTATATTTTAATTATAAAGATTATTTTATTGCGGAAGCAAATATTAATCTTCAAAACTCGGATGATACATCTTATTAGCTGAAGGTTTAACTATAATAAAAAATGAAGCAAGAATTCACATACACCGAAATAACAACATGAGGTCTAAACATTATTATCAGTTATAGACAACAACACTACACTAATTAAATGGTAAGAAATTTTTGGAAGAAATACATATAAGGAACACTCTAAAATACCTAACGACTTCAGAAGAAAGAAGTAATTATTTAGGCTTTGCAGGTTTATAGCTCAAGCCTTGACTCCTTTTCATCGAGGGCGAATTTTGCAGATGTAAAAATCTATACTTCAACATTCTGATCCTCCGGCTTTGTTCAAGCTGTCTCTTAAATAGAATCAGAGAAATATGACGCAGTGATTTCCTCAAGTCAAAATGAAAAGCATTGGTGACCAAAGAATATTGCGGGAAGGATATTGAAAGACGACGTAAATGAGATGCTATAGTGACGGCAAATTAGTTCTGAAATATCATTAAAAAATAGTTAAACAAATGAACCTTTCTGAATGCCCTCCAATACGCCCAGCCATCAATTTCTGGATCTAAATCTTCAAGTTCCTTTCTCCTTTCCAAATTCAATTTAAACAACCAATCTGGATACTGGTCATTTGGTAATATTTTTGGGCCCGGTTCTTCAGCTGAAAGGTGTGTGAATAAGTTGACGTTTACTTCACCTCCATACTAGACTGAAAATTACCCTTAGTTGTAAACTACTTGATTTCGGAAAATAATTTAGTATTTCTTCCTAGGGAGTGTGATTATAAAAAACAATTTGTCACTCTTAAGCCCCTTATGTCCTGTAGCTTACATTTCATCATTAATTTAGTGGTACAACTTCTACAGTTTAACAGAAAGCAAAAAATGCACAAAATTTTCAAAGTAGAATGGCACTAGGTTAAAACGAACCATCAACGAAATAGTTTATACATACATAGGAACATAACTTCTCAGTATCCATATCGACAAAAGATTTGTCCTCTTTATGAACGGTCGTCTTTTTCACTGCTGCAAGATTCCTGACAGCGTTCTGAGTAACACCTTAAAAATTGAGCAATATCACCATTTGGTGCATGGTAACTGGTTAACCGCAAAAGAGAAAAGTATGAAGTTTTAAAGTTTTAAATGTGGGCAGCAGAGCAACACGGACTTAGAAAAAAGGGGAACCGAAAAAGCTTAAAAGAATCAACCTGGGGAGCCAGACTGGACCCCTTCCTTCAGGATTAGTGAAAATGACCGTATCAATCGTAATGATGATAACATTACCAACGCTGATGCCACCTTAATAAGACAAAAGTAAATGAAAGCAGTAAACGTAGTTTCAACCAATTAGTGCTATCTCCCAGAAAAATTTAAGATTTTGGGAAAGACTAGGAATACCACTTCTCTGAGAGCAGAAGAAACATCTAATCCAAGACAGAAAACACAACCAATTTTAATAGAAATTACTACGTTCGAATACACGACAAACATTACTTCACAAGTACACAAAGAATCAACACACAATAATGAAGAGATAAACATATGTCACATAGTCAACACCCAAACCTGACTAGAAGCAATTTCTGACCGTCAAAGCAGTCGACAGTCACTTAATGTGGCCAAATGCCGATGAACACGAAATTTTCTTAGCTTGCAATTTTCGTCGGTGCCGAAGTTTAACTGCTTAGTGAAGGCAGCAGACACGTTTTCCTGAGTTCAGTGCAGTTAATCGCAGAGCCTAGTTTATCTAAGGGACAACGTTTCTGCAAACGTGTAAATGTTTAGAAATTCACTACATCGAGGTTGCTTGTTGCTTTTATAAGTTGCAGTTTTCCGAGCGAAAGTGAGAAGCTAAGCTTTTGGTAGCAAGTTTCCAGAAAGTAAATGCTGGACTTCAAGTTCGGGCTGGTTTTCGCATTGCTTATGATGTCTTCTCTTTTTCTTTCAAAAAGGATAAATCTTTATTTTTTTATTGATTGTTGTGATCTGTTATTCTGAACTTGCTTCCGACTGACTTCCCGTTATCAGAAATTTGTCACACAAAAGTATTTCTAAAATAAGCTGTGTTTTTTCGTTTTTCGACGTATGCGATACGTATCAAGTTTGCCGATTTAGATCGTTCCAAAAACTTTTTTTTTTGTTTTATCTATTTGGGATATAGCATCAAATCCATCTTGTCTTTGTTATATCTAAATCTTAGGTGCTAGTAATTTTTTCTTCCCAAAAGTCCCAAACTTTTTCGGACACTTACTGCTTTCAATTCCGAAGAAAAATTGGACCATCAAATATGAAACGAAGGGCTTTTGACTGCTTATTTTCTTTTTCTTTACTTCTAAACAGCAGCAAGTGGTTATTTAAAAATGTATAGTTAGAAAAAAGTGTTATCAGTTTCTTAACTTTGCCTTAGGATAGTGAAAACTACCCGTATGAGAATAAAATGCTACGAAAACCTGAATGATATCAGAAGGCACTGAAGGGAGAGGAAACTATAATGAAGGGGAAGAATTACTTGCACATGGAGGTAAAAATATTTGAAAATTTTTTTTATAACGACACCGTTTACTAAAATTTTATTTATCTCTCGAAAAGTAGTAAGAAAAATAAGCTTTTAAATGCTCGTTACGGTCGCTAATGGAAAATATAAAAGGATCGGCTGATTAGAAGAAAGAGCAAGTAGAAGTTATCTTTAATTGTTGGGTCATTCATGGCGTTCTAAGTTCCTGGTAAATTCAGCTGCATTTCTTTGGAATTGGAGAATTTATTTTGCGTACCTAGTGTCTATTCACTATGTATTCTAAGCTCTATGGCGTTATTTATTAATTTATGCATTCCTTCCCTGTAATCTCTTTTGCAGCAGTTCTGGACAGTGAACGAGATATTTTCAAAATTCTGACATTTATAACACAGTATTACTCTTGTTAAGCAATGTGACTGAGGAAAGTAATTTTCTGATTTTAGTTACTCCAGTAGCCTGATACAACAATGCCTCCAACAGGAATTAACGGAGCACCGCTAAGAATGGCTCCTACCATTAACGCTGTAACAGCTAGTGGTGACGACGAGAACGAGAATATTTGGTACACTTTTGTACATAGATAAACCTTAGAAAACAATTCTAACCAGTTTCATTGCTCTGCAAAGATCAGACTCCTAGTTTTAAGTTGACCACTTTCATTTTAAATCCCGTAT